AGAAGTCAGTGACGAAGACTCATTCAAGGGTCTTCAGCTCTCGAGCCGCAGGCACAGCGAGGTGACACCCAGCGTGCTCTGAAGAAGAGCGGACAGCGAAGAGTTCGGCGGGTGACCAGCCCGTCCTTGAGAAGACGCGGTCCTGCGTCCTTAGCCTCCGGGTGGCTGCGAGACGGTCACCCTCCAGACGCGTGGCGGTCTGCGTCCCGGACGTCAGCGGGTCTGGACACGTGACCGTTCTTTCCTTAGCCCCTCAGGGGGCGACCGGAGGATTTTCTGGGGGCTGCTACGTGTCGGGGCGTGAGCACAGACAGGAGAGTTCAGACGTTTAAGTCCCCGGCTCATTAGAACAGGAGCAGAACCGGTCCCTCGGGCCTCGACCCACCTGCTTTGGGTAATTTAGCAGCTCGATTAGAGTGAGACCTTTTCATTTCTTCACTGTATTCTTCAGGCTTAATCAGAGGAATTTATTTCTCATAGGTCTGGAGGCTGAAAATCCAAGATTAAGGTGAAGTCAAGGTTGGTTTCTGGTGAGATCTGTCTTCCTGGACTGTAAATGGAACATTCTTGCTATGTCCTCACATGGCCTCTTTATATAAATGAGGAGGGAGAGAGGGAGGGAGGGAAGAGAGAGAGAGAAAGAGAGAGAAAGAGAGAGAGAGAGAGAGAGAGAGAGAGGAAGAGAGAGAGGAAGAGAGAGAGGGAGAGGGAGAGAGAGACAGAGACAGAGACAGAGAGACAGAGAGACAGAGATAGAGACAGAGAGAGAGGCTCGGGCATCTCTTCCCCCTCTTATAAGGATGCCAGTCCTACGGTACCAGGGCCCCACCCTTGTAAACTTATTTAAATTGAATTACTTCTCTAAAGTCCTCGTCTCCACATACAGTCACATCGGGAGTTTGGGCTTCGACCTATGAACTTTGGGGGAGCACAATCTAGTCCATAACAACTGGGGTGAGTGGGTAGGATGGGCTAGGGATCAGAATATGGGAATTCAGTGGACCAGCTAGGTCGTGATAGGTTTATTTTTCCCTTGACATCAAAAGCAGCAAAGAGCCCCACCCCCGATGGGCTCATCTGCACTTTACGGTCGAGAGAACTGAGGCACAGGGAGGTGGCCCCGGTTCCACGCAGTGCTGTGGGTTGAACTGCATTCCCCCAAGTTGAAGCCCTGACCCCCAGTACCTCAGAGGTGACTTTATTTGCTATGGGGTTCTCGCAGGCGTAATCGGTTAAGATGCGTCATTCTAGAGGAGAGTGGGCCCTAATCCAACATGACTGTTGTCTTAATAAAAGGAGGAAATCCGGACGCAGACGCAAGGTCAAGCAGAGCGCCAGGTGAGCATGAAGGCAGAGATTTACAAGCCGAGCAAGACTGCCAGCAACGCCAGAAGCTAGGGGAGAGGCAAGGAGCAGATTTTCCCGTGAGGCTTCAGAAGGAACCAACCCTGCCGATGCCTTGATCTTGGCCTTTCAGCCTCCGGAACTGGTGAAACAATTCATTTCTGTTTGTTAAACCACTCAGGTTGTGGTACTTTGTGACAACAGCCCTAACAAACTAACACACTCCGTAACAGGTGGGGTCCAGATTCAACACCGGATTCTGGCTCCAAAACCCAGGTTATCGACTCGGTTCTCTGCGGCCTCGTGATGACTCTGGAGACACCTGTCACTGGGCCGTGTGCATCGCAGGTGCTCAGAGCACGGGAGTTACTCGTCTCAGATCAGCCCCTCCTCAGAGAGGGCGCCCCGCCTTCCCAGGGAGCTGGGGATGGAGCGAACTCCGTCCCGCCCTTTGCCGGCCACGTTCAGTCGGAACCAGGGGCCTCCCAGGTCTGTATCTCCAGGGGACCCGATGTCCGTCCTGACCTCTCCGCTGCTACGGCTGCTGTGGGGCTCTGTGCCCACTTACGGGGGAGAAAATTGAGATCTGGGGCTACAGAGTGTTGGCCCCACAGCTCAGGGTCAGTGGAGAAGCTGGGACTGCAGCTCCTCTTGTCTCAGTCCAAATTCCCAGTGGTACCCCAACTGGGGAGACCCCTCTACCTTCCCGGCCGGTGGCCAACTCCACTTAGTAACTCTTTGTCGAATAAGAGAACGAATAACCAAATGAACCCACGAGGCCGCGCACCTGCTTACGAAGGCCATGCTGTCTCATCGCCCTCTGCTGGCATCTGGGGTCCCCCAGACTACACCGCGGATGCTCATGGCACTCGAGTTGCCTCCCTCTGCTCTCCCATTGCAAAGTGCAGGAAACCCGTGGTTTCCCTGCTAGAACAGAACTTCTGAAATCGCAAACACACACGGCCCCTCTGAGAGCTCAACGCCCATTCCGAAGGAAGCCTCTCCAGGGGCGTCACGAGGGCCCCACAAATAAGAGATCCCATGGGAGAGCAGCAAACAAGAAGAGACGGAGGCCCCCATGCTCAGGGGACACGGTGTCCTGCACCTTCCATTTATTTATTTATTTATTTTTTTTAATGGTCCAAAAGGTCATTTTGAAATCCGAGGAGCGGGACTAAATATTTACCTGATCAATTCCAGGGACCTGTCAGGGGGAGGTGATGCACAGCAAATAGCTCGGGGACCTTGCTCGGGACACAGCTTTATTCCTTCGTTCATTCATTCACCAACTATTTGTTGGGCCTCAGCTGCATGCTAGACCAGGTACGAGGGGGAACAGGCCCCGCCTTCAAGGCTTCTGTCTAATGGGGGCCCGGTGGGGTGCAGGGGCAGAGATTAATCTCTCGTTTGATGATAGGATGACAGTTTGCCTTAGGGAAGAGACGAGGCATTCCAGGAGATCCTGGCAGCATGCAGATTCTCAGAGATGGGGGAGGGAGCATTCTGGGTGACAGGGACCCGCAGGAGCCGTGGCCTAGAGGTGAGAAGCTACGGGCCCCCAGGGAGAAGAGCAAGGAGAGGCAGGAGCGACCAGACCAGGGAGGGCTGGATGGCAGACAGAGGAGTCTGGATTTTATTTTGTAGGCAAGAGGGAGCCACTGAGTGCTTTTGAGCGGGGGAGAGGTGAGCTTGTTCAGAATAAGAGAACATCGTTCTCGGGGCCGAGCTGAGGGTGACTGTTCCCCCTTCTCCCCTTCACCACACCAGGGCCTCGCTTTCACACGTCACCCCCGCAGTGCCGCTGCCTCATGACCCCGGGCCTGTGCCTCCTTTCTGGCTTGTCCGAGACTCTGGGATCCCCGCCCCCTTTGAGCGGGGGAGAGGTGAGCTTGTTCAGAATAAGAGAACATCGTTCTCGGGGCCGAGCTGAGGGTGACTGTTCCCCCTTCTCCCCTTCACCACACCAGGGCCTCGCTTTCACACGTCACCCCCGCAGTGCCGCTGCCTCATGACCCCGGGCCTGTGCCTCCTTTCTGGCTTGTCCGAGACTCTGGGATCCCCGCCCCCTCCCCTCTCCCCCACACCGCCCCACCACCACCTGCCTCTGTAGGGCAGAGTTGGGAGTGAGTCAGTTTGCACCTGACTTGATTTTTTACCTGGCTGTTAAAAAAAAAACACTCCAACTTTCCAGCGGATGCAGGGGAAATGAATCAACGTTTTAGTCACACGCTTCTTTTTCAGCCGGTGAACCCGGGACAGGGAACGGAGGGCCAGGCAGGGTCTTGAAGCATTTCTCAGTCCTTGTCCACACGCAGCCCGGAGCTGCTGGGGTCAGCGGCGGAACGGTCCTGCTCGGCGTTGGGAACTTGCCTTTGTCAGCATTGTCCAGGGGCTGTGCTGTCCGGCTCAGGGCTGTTTTACAGGCAGGGAGGGAGACTACCCCAGGGTCTTCCCTTCCTCTGTCCCCTGTACACCGTAAAAAAGGGGTCTGTCTCTCGCTCTAGATACAGGTTTCCTGGTTTCCCACAACGAGTCTATTCTGAAATTTGCGTCCAAGGACCCCGTCATGCAATCCCTGGAATACTGCGACCCTGGAACAATCGTCAGTGCCAGAGGCGGCTCTCAGCATGTTCTCAGCAGTGAAAACTCTGGGTTTGTAACAGTGAGGCCGCCTGTCTCTGACGCCCTGGCCATCAGGAAAACCCACAGGGCCCCGCCCAGAGAAATCCATTTGCTGGAAATCACAGGTTTGAGGTACAGGTTTATTCTCACAGATTCTAGGTAGACCCTCCCCAGAGAATTCACCCCACCTACTCAAAGAGGGTCTGAGCTAGACCACCTGGGCCAGCATCACCTGGGTGGGGAAACTGAGACCCAAAGAGAGGGGATTTGCCTGAGGAACCAGAGCAAATCAGTGGCGGAGCGGGGCCGTGAGAACGGGCCTCCAGGCTGCGGTCACGTGTTCTTCCTTCTGCAGAGCCCCCGCGACCACGGCCAGGTACTCTGGGACAGATGCTGGCCACATCTCCACTGCCACAGGTTGGAGCGGTACCTGTGTCACCTGGTTGGCTGCCTGCCTCACTGAGCCCTCCTCGCCAGGTCTCTGTGGTAGCTTCTTGGTTGGGGTTCTCCTTGCCAAGGCCTTCTGAGCCTCCCATCCTGGAACAAGGCACCGAACCTGCCCGGGGGCTGCTGGCTGCCTGCACTGCTTCCCCCTTCTGCAGACGCCAGCCCACGGGAAGTCGGAGCACCCGTGTCTGGGACCAGGTATGCGGGGGAGTGAGGGGCCAGCCCCAGAGGGATGGAGAAGGAATGCAATTACTGAGCATCTGCCAAGTACAAGGCACCTCATAGCCAGGCTCCTCGTAGCCATCGTTTGTTTAATTCGCACAGCCACCCTGGGAGGGCTTCTCCCACTTTTGGGGGGCAGAAACGTATTCAATGAGATTACATGATCTGCCCGAGGTTGCATAGCCCTGGAGAGTTGAGTGTCTAGTCCGCATCCATCTGGTACCCCCCACATCACACCCCCTCGCCAGCAGCTTCTGCCCGGACTCCTGGCATCTTCAACCTCCCGACCCCCTCTCCAAAAGCAGAGCTGCTTGCAGCCAGCACTCTGGGCCACGTCTTCCCGCAGACAGGCAGCTCTGGGAGGGCTATGGTTTCGTGGGGTTGACAACCTTGCCCAGAAAGAGGATGCTCTGGGTCTTGGTAGAAAAGATCACCACGAGGAAAGGCCGGTTGAACCGAAGGACTCGATGATTGTGTGAGGCGGACAGAAAGGTGACAGAGACGCTGGTGGCCGCTGCAGCCTCCGTGCCAGCCTCGTCCACATCCAGGATGGCCTTGTGGAAACTCTGGGAGGGAAATCACAGCGTTATTTCTGAGAAAACGTAACTGGAGACTTAGGGAAGACTGGGGGGCCCGGAGGTGGCCGGAGATCGGTCCTGTGGTTCACTGCATGCAAAGCCACT